GATCAGCTTGAACGAGCCTCGTCGTCGACGCCTACCTTCTGGTATCGAACTAGTTGACAGGTCTCCTTCTCAACTCCTTCGGCATATACGCCTCTTTTTTAGGGATATCAAGGTTAGTGATTCCGTTCTATGCCAAATGTGGACTAGAACTTTCTTGGCACACATGAACACAATCATCTCGTTCCTAAGCTCTAGCGTACATTTGGATTAGCTCGCAGAAATGGCTCATAATATCCGCGAATGTCTGACCCACGGAGCGGAAATTCCAACCGTCTCCTCTGGTGTAGCAGCAGCAGCCAACCGCCTACTGAGAATGGATGAATTACCATCTAGACGGCCTCAGGAGCGACAGCGCACCAATTCCCGTTTCCGCTGGCCAAGTCAACCCAGGAAGAGATCCGACCTACCCTTATTACCCGTTATCGGTTTTGCTGATTGCGTTCGATAATTTTCGAGCGTTTACTGTTTCACAGCTAACCCTCTCGGGGGGGAATATTTGTAGCGGATTAACAGCGATCGCGCCTGAGTGAACCATGGTTACTGACCTGACAGTGACAATGACTCACCCCCTTTTTCATTGGTTACTATATCCGATGCCTGTCATCCGTTCACTCATCCACACACTAAGACACACTTTGCTGGCGTGACGCTAATAAACGGTCGTGTCCTTGGTCGCCTCTCTTCTCTCCATTCTCTGGTTGTTACGGGTTGTTAACTAGAGGGTTGTAAGGTAGTGCTTAGACGATAAGCTACTACAACTTCACTAGTCTATATGACAAAGGTTAATCGCTTTTTCATCACATTGTAATGCTAAAAATTCTGTCCACTTGCTGATTTCAATAGGTGGTAATGACGCAGTGTAAAATCCTTGCTAGGGATCAAAAGGTATAACTGTTTGACCGTTTAATGATTCTTTGAAATTAGAATTCATTAGCAAAAGGCACAAGCATCAGATTAATAAGATGAACAAACTAAGTAACGAGGACAGTATTTGCAGCAGAGTTAATACGAAAACAGTTATACATGACTTGGAGGGCTACACGTGCTAGTTTAGGCATTTCTTAGTGAACACGGATTGTGATGTACTGCATTTCAGCCTGTAGAAAGCAAACTCAACTCTGATAGGTCTTAAAAAGTGAACACCACGTAAAAAATTAGAATAAGCTTACTAGTGTTTACAAAATAAATGAAATCAAAACTATCGAATCCCTTTTGTTTTTTAGTGCTTGATCAGTTGAGTATTCAATCTGGCACACATTTGGATGCAAAAACCAGAGATATACGGTGCATTTTTGGTAAAAATAAAAAATTGTACCTTATATTTAAGACAGGTCATAAAAAACGAGCATTAATTAGACATAGGTGAATGAGTTTAAAGAAAATCTGGTAAGCGGAATCTATCCATCAAATGACTCGAAAATAGTAAGCCTACCTGCCAATTTATAACGTGGCGATACGGTCAAATAAGGTCTTTTCCACATTGAAGTCATTTGCAACACCGAAATACTATTACTTTAAAAGCATTTATCTACTTGTTTAATTTTCTTTCTATTATTTTGAATATCTTTATTCATAATTTAGTTGACATGAGGCTTTTCTAGTTCCACACTTAAATTCTACAGTCAAATGCAAACAAGTTCACTTGCGGAACTTGCATCATTCTATCATCAAAAATACTATTATTTAAATTTAAAAATTGTTCTTTCTTCATTGCCACTAACGATTCAAATGGCATCAAATTTATAAATTGAAAATGTTACCTTTAATTTTTCGAAACGTCCTCGCAACTTCATCGCATATTGTATCAACTATTCGTTTCTCAAAAGGCAAACAACAGGTAAAGTAAAAAGAGCAGAGTTTAAACAAGTTATTAGTTTTTATCTCACTGACAGTTATTTTTTTATTTATTTATATGAGTTGAAAACGCTGGCGTCAATTCGATAAATTGCAGTTTGAGATTTGGTGTGTCGGGTAATAATGGCAACGCCAATAATTTAAACATTGAAAATGCTCTCCATGGTTTTGTGGTCACACAGGTAAAGTTAAATAATGCGTTTATTTAAAGTACTTGATATGAATGCACACACAGTTCCTCAGTTTTTAAGTTTAATGTCTTCTTTATTTTTGGAAGTGGCCTGACCTAGTATGTGTAGAGTACAATGAATTCTGTCGATTTCCAAAATTTCGTGGGCGTCTATGTTAGTGCTGTTCCTTTTTCAAGTTTGAATTAGCTGGATTTTATGTGAGTCACAGCATCATACCATGCTCAAATTGAATTTAGGCAGGAAGACTGGAGACTGAAACCCGAAAACTTAAAGATAAGTCTTTGAAACTAATTATAAAGGGTATCGTTTATCACGAAATAAAAGGAATGTTTGTAAATCATTCATGCACTTCCTATGAAAATTCGTATGTCCTGCAACCCCTTCCTGCCAGTACAAATTTAAAGCACGCCGAAATCGTGTATGCAAAATTTTCACTAATGCAATGTAGAACGTTCCACTTGTTTGACATTAGTGCTATGTGTAATTTGCGTGGTCTTCCCAACCTGTTATCTTGTCCAACTTGCCAAAATTTCTCCATCAAGTTGTGGAAAACAACCTTATCCCAGTGAACTAAGGCCACATAAGCGATGGCCATCCCCATGCCATTCCATCCCTGAGTTTGGAGGCCCTGAAGAAATTCCACAGCAACTTCTACCACCCTCGTAATGTCATGTATGCGCCTCACACTTTCTTATGCTTTAAAGATGAGTTGATGGACAAGAAGTAACCGAATCTGTATGTTGTTTCTACGACTGTTTCATGTAAACGTCTCTCCTAAATTTAGAGGCTTATTTTGCGAAAGCCAACGCAGAGTTACCATTAGGTCTCCAGAGAAATCCTCGTGTTTAGAATTCGAGAATTCAGTGGGCGGGTTACACAAGCCTCATGTTTTACCCGGGTGATAATTTTTTTTAATTTATTTTTGACCTCCTGTTCTCCAACTTTTAGTATATATGCAAATGGCAACCTTGACGTGGACAACTATCATCAGCATTTAGATTCCCAGTGTTTGGTAAAATTCACTGTCCAGGATCCCCCGCCAAATGTTGCCTTTGAACCCAAGTGGACGGAGCCGGTACGCACTGGTTACACTTATCATTTTTTCTCCTTACTTGCTACTTGGAGATTCTGCATTTCTCTGGATGAAGCAACATACTTTTTCCGTTATTTTTTACCTTTTCTTTTCTGTTAAGGCTGATTTAACATCGCAGCTGATGGAAAGGTTGCTTATTGACCTTCCACGTACTTCTTTTCTTGAACGTGCAAAGTGGGGGTTAGCTTCACCGCATTGTCACTTTTGAAGTGCAAAAGTATTGTCCTTTATATTTAAGTTCCTTAAACTACAGTTTCAGTGGATAACCAAAAACAATATTTGTTTTCACCACACGTATTTCAGCAGAGCCAGATTCCTTGCCATATTTAATGAGAAACTGTTTCAACTCTTATTTACCAAAAGAATTCCCGCATGTGTCTAGGCGATTTGGTCTTTTGTGAGGGCATATGATCCCAGTTCTACCTATCTTGCCAACCATTAATTAGGCGTACAAATAGAAGCCCTTGCTCACTGTTCTCGAGTCGGCTACGAGGTCCTCAGCTCAGGGGAGCCAATCAGAATCGTTGAACCAAATTTTGCTGCCAGAATTAACTCAGACGCGTGTGGAGTTTTCTAAAGGGAGTTTCTTTGCAGTAGCAAGTTTAACATACTGGCAATAAACTAATTTCCCTTTCTATTAACTTCTATCCTTTTTTTCCACTTTGTAGATTTTGCATTGAATTTACCATTGGAGCAGATGGTGGGCGACTTTTCATGCGAAAGCGAACATTTTTAACATGTTTTAGTGGTGAGGTTCTGTGAAGATATGAATACTGTTATGCCTACATATAGCTGCGTAATTTTTTCGGTTAATTTGCCTTAAAAGGATTGTGATGAAAAGACTAAATAACGCGCTACGAGGATCGTTGTTCAGTACACCTACTCAATGTATGTAGCAATCATTTCTAAGCACGAGACAATCCTCCATTCTGTTTAAATACATATCACTGATGATGAGAAAAGAGTCGTCTACAACAACGGCAACCAAAATTTACGGTGATCTGTCGAATTACATTTAGAAAATGTCACATTTTCGGTTTGGTGGGAATTCGAGCCCGTCATGCATTTTCACCTACTTCTAGTAAACAAGTTACCACTATAACAATCATGGCTGTCCTCTCTTCCAGCGATCCATCTGCAGATGCGACTCTTAAAGTATTTGCAGATTCACTCGACTTCGCTCTGACGAAGGACTTCACTGAACAGAAGTTACTGGAGGCCAAGTTGTTGGTGTTCAAGGAGGTGGACAATCTTTGCCGTTAAAGCCATCTTGTTGTCTCTCACAATGCATTAAGGAATTAGGCGTTAGGCCCTTCTGTCAATGTTTGCTTAAAAGTGTTTCGACTTCCTTTTAGTTGGACTGCCCATTTCCTGCCGGTTGGCATGGCCTGCAGGCCTTTTTGACGGGCATCGACGGTGAGAAAAGCCAGGCTCACACAGAGCTCCTCTTCTCTGTAGACGAGGCAGGAGTTAAAAAGGCGGCTCAACAGTTAAAGCACCAATTAGAGCAGTCAGTTGCACTTGGCCGGGCTGTTCTCGGTCCAAAGGAGACTTCAAAATGGACGAAGACAAGTGACCAGAGCTTGTTTTTTTCTGCTGCAGTAGTAATGCATGTGCGGACTACTGCGCAGGATATTTTCGTACTATTTTTAAGTTACTAGCTTGTGTATTATCTCACATTGTATCGACTATTTGAACAAATATTGTGTGATCATCAACCTTTATGATTTCTGCGTACTGTTGATTCCTCAGTAGTCGAGTTCTTGTGCTCGGGTCGCATTCTAACTGGCAATGTTCTGTTATGCACGGAAACAATAATCGCCATCGTTTTATGAGAACGATCTTCAAATAAGTGGATTAGAAGTCTCCTTTGTCTATTAACTGAGTTTATGGGATTAGTGCGGCTTAAATTTTCTATACAGAGAACAAACCAAATTATATATTTGCTTGATTCCTACCTCTACGCACAGATTTGGCTAGAAAGAAAATTAGGTCTGGTTACTTTGCTTTAACGTTTCTTTAATGCAGTTTATTTATAAGTCTTATATTGAACTTCGATTTATTATTGCATCAACGCTAAATTAAACACATGGAATTCATTCCACCAAGTTTAAATGACGCACGCAGCGTTTTTAATAAAGCACATCAGATTTTCTAAATGCCCAAAGCACATTTGCAAGTTTTTTACATTAAGCTTTACCTCTTAAGAAAGTCTAAATTATTAATGTTTTCTTGTGGCGTAACCGCTGGACAATTAATTTTTTATCACGGTAAATTTGGCATTATTACTGCATTCAACTTAGTAAACTGCAATGACTAGAATTTGAGAAAAATGTATGGCGATATTGGAAAGGATCACAGTTGCTTAGTTGAAGCAACATTAAATATTATGTATATGAAGACTTCATGCAGCAAGTTAAAGTCGAGCTACTCGCTCTTACTCATTAAGTAGCAAAGTTTCTGTAGACTTTGACTTTTAGCGTTCAAACAAATATGCATTGCATTTGACCTCCTTTTGTTAATGAATAAACATCTAGTGGATTTGGATTAGGTTCATCAAACCTATTTGGGTTTGTTTGGCATAAACGTATTGGTTCTATTCACCGATGTTTTTATGTAAGCATCTCGTAAAACAATTTGTTTCCAAACGAAGTGGTATCCAGCAATCGCCATTTATTAATTTGAGAATTATTGTAAATTAATCACTACGCTGTATTTGATATAGGTCTATTAGTGATTAACTCTTTGTGGCCGTTGCTCAGTGTCTGCGTAAAAGCTGACAAACTAGCCTAGTTACAGTTTTTTTGTCTTAGAAGTGTTTATTTTTGAAAGTGTTGCCACTCGTGTTCTCTTGTCATATCCATCATCTCCAGTAGAATGCAATTTAGACCAAGAAATTCCCTAAAATAATATTACTTTTACTAACTTGCTGTTGGTTTTTATTTCTTATAAAAGATCAAAGTTATGTACATGGAGTGTTGAAGAATCTACATTGCCACATTACTATTTGCGTTGGTGTCCAATCCACGCATAACAGAACACGAAAGCAGATTGCGGTCGGTGCTGAATGGTATTACCGGCTGAGGCTGCCCAAGTGTTTTTATTGGTTCTTAAATTAAGCAACATGGTACATGTGTTATTACTTCCTACCGTATAATATTATCGAGGTTATCGTGGACTCACACAATGCCCAGGGAAAATAATAGCACTGAATTTTTTATCACAGTCCAGTATGCAAGCACTAGTGCATGAGGCATAACGCGTGGCTTAAAAAAGCGTTCTAAATGGAGGGTGGTGTGTCTGAGTAAGAGTCAACAAAATCTGTGCATGAGAATTGTCATGATTTGCAACAACGTATTTCACGAATGTCTTTGAATGCTCATCTCATAAGAGGGGTCATATGGCGTTAAAAAGAATCCGGACTGCAGTAAATGCGTAGGCCAGCCAGATCAGGCCAACGTAGTCTAAAAGTGACCTATAACCCACTTCCTTTTGACAGTAAAAACGGCTTGTGTGCAATCGAAACTACGTGTTGCAAACTGCTCCCTATATAATAATTGCGATATCATTAATTGCTAACATGCTGAATATAACGGCCCTTGTGTTTGCTAATGCACCCACCTGAAGACTAGAAATCTGCTCAAGTCTTTCATTGCATTATTTTAAACAAACTTTGCCATAAATTTACATTTGCAACAAAACAAAACACGAATGTGTCCAATATTTATCGTGACACAGCTAATAGATGAAGCACATGTTATCTTTAGTCGAATATTTGAATATCTAAACGAAAGGAAATGCTAGCAGTTTGAAACACTGATTTCAGACATTAAACTTGGTGATCCGTGCGTAATTAGCTCTATTTATGGTTCAAATTGTGTGAATAATTATGTTTAGAATCTATTGTGATGCACATTTTTCGCACGGACATGCTTTATAATAATTGAGAGAAGCAGATCAGAAAGCTCTGTAACCACGGTTAGTCTCAAGTCACTCTTAACTACTTCCTACCTTAATCGAGATTTGAGATGTCGCCTGATTTTAAAAAAAAACTTAGTAGGCTCACCACCAACTCACTCAGTTATGGAAATTTTTACAGTTGGTTACTGTATTGAGTGGATGATCAAATCGTTAGTGCTCACGTCGTCAATTACGCATTACTCTATTTTTTTGGTGCGTTCATATTTGTGTCAGAAACGTTTCTGCAGCGAATTTGTTTGCGTTCATGGATCTCCTTGTCAACGGCAGCAATGAACTAGTAAGCAGAATATGAAGGCACAGTCAGGTAAACTTGGAATTGTTATCCGCACGCAAGCGTGGGAGTTTTAAATATCAAAATGTTTTCTAGAAGTAGTCATTAGGTACATTAATAGTGAGGTTGTTTGCCTTCGTTTTTGGCACTCCGCAAACTGATGTAATAGTTCTATTATCTTACCATGTATATAGGGGAAAACACGAGTAGGTGGTAAAACAATTACTATTTCCTTCTCGAAGTAAGGAATCAGACTTATTTCCACGTAAAACGACAAAACAGCTATTTTACACTTTGCTCACTAAAATCTTTCTTTGTTAATTTTACAAGCCAACAAGCAGCATGCCATTACATCTCATTAAACGTGTCAGGCTTTCAAAGTCTTTCTGCTGTGGTTTGATATTTTCGCAAAATCTTGGTCCAAATAGTCTACGTAGCTTTTTAGCGTGGATTGTTACATTGTGTAGATTAAGTAAATGGTTCAGATCATTAACTGTGGCAGCATCATCGCAGTAGTTTATTTCACTAGATTTATCAGTCTGACTTCGACTTATAGTAAGGCTGTATAAGCTGACTTGTTACCTTGTACACACGCCCTGCTACTGTACTAATATATAAACTGATCTACCTGTTGTCTGCATCCCTTGTCAGTGTAGATCATCTACCATAATGTGGTTTTTAAACCTCATGTGCGCCAGTAACATACCTGAATGCATAAATTGGTCACCAAATTAAGGAGCGAACACGACTATGCAGAGGGTATTAAGGTGCTAGAAGTAAATACCAACAGCAACCTAGGTGAACGGTGGCTGTTCTATACACTCTAAATTGAAATGTAATCACATAAACTAGACTTGACATTCACTTACACCGTCAATTAGCACAATGTCCACTGTCTCAAGTGTACCATCATTTTGAATAAGCTTCAAGGAAAGAGTGAAGTTTGATACAATGAAATTTACTCCGCTACTACACATAACGCAGTTGCAGGCGATTTCGTGCGGAACATTCGTAGGAAAGTAAAAGTAGACATGCGGATCGATGAGGTAAAATTAAAACTATGCGTTAAAGTTATTAAAACGAGTCTTTTGTTTTTGAATGTGCTATAACTCTTGAGCGATCGAAAGTACAATTTTGCTCATTTTTTGTATTCTTATGTATTGTATAATATACGTACTTGTGAGTTTGTACTAACAAGCAGATGACGGGTTACTATGTTAATATATTTTTATATTTGTTCGTCATTTCAGAGTGTTTTTACACAACTGACTAACTGCGCTGACATGACACTACCTACACATTTTTTAATAGAAAGAAGAAAAGACTACTGAAGTCACGTCTCTATTCTGAGAATGCTAGTTAGGCAAATCACAGAACGTGCGTTTTTGCGTCGAATGGATGAAATTCGTAATGATTGCCTAAAAATGTTTGTGCGATTTAACACAAGCCTATAAAAATGAATAGGATTTTAAAGCAATATGAAATCTCCTGCAACGTTCAATTGGGAGCTATTTTGAAGGGTAAATTCTGTAATTAGGTTTTCAATTCTCAGCCTACTCTCTGTAATTCGCTTGGTTTTTGCTCAAACACCATCGGAGGAATAGCCGAAAAATTGAAGAATTTTTACAGAAAATTGCGTAAAGAACGTGAACCTACTACCAGTCAAATGAACCTTATGGTATGTTAAATCTGAATTTTTGATTACATGATGCTAGTTGTAGATTTCAAATGAGCATTTAATTGTGATAAGTCTACAAGCCTAAAATGTGCAGTGCTACAATGAAATTAGTATCGACATATTTTGTGTACTGCAACAGCTGTGTGCAGTTGTTCATTAGTTAAGTTTAATTTATCGACGTTTTGGCTAGAGCTAAAGTTTCATTACTGGCACTTGGACTAAACCCTTACGATTAATGTCACTGCGGTTATACCAAGGACCACATGTAGCTGTACAGGGGTGAAACACTAGTCAAAAGATTAGACTGGTAAGATTAAAATGTCTATGGTAGTATTTTAATTCCGTCCGATTAAAAGCTATTCAACATTCATTGAGAGATTGGGAATTGAATGGGTGGCTTAGTGCACATTTGCTAAACCGGACGAAAAAAAAGATCCCCAGCTTAAAAACGTCAGCACGGCTGTATTTCTGAATATTTTGAAATTATCGGTGAAAGAAAAGCCTGACTACAAAGTCAATCAATATTTGCACAATGCTTGATGAGTTATAATAAATAAGTCAGTGGCATTATTGTCCATCAACAGTTGAGCGTTCATGCGCCTTGACTATTATGTGAGAGAACAAAGTAGGGGGACTACAGAACATCAAACTCTTCATGGTCGCGCCTAAAAATCTTTGTTACTAGTATGCGTCCTATGATTTAGAACGTAACTGGGACCTTTGATGCGACT